AAACAGCCTAAGTGCCCATCAGTAAATGAGTGGATCAAAAACTGTGGTACATTTATACAATGGAATAGTATTCAGCAGAAAGAAAGAAAGAACACCTACCCTTCACAACAGCATGAATGGAACTGGAGTGTATTATGCTAAGTGAAATAAGACAGGTAGTGAAAGACAAATACCATATGATCTCATCAATAAGTGGACCCTAATCAACGCAACCAACAAATGAGCAAAATAGAACCAGAGACATTGAAGTAAAGAACAAACTGATAGTGACCAAAGGGGAAGGGGGAGAGGGATAATGGGGGAAAGAGAGGGAAGGGGCAAGCCAAGGAATATGAATAGAAGACTCATGGGTATGGACAATAATGGGGAATGGACTGTGGGAGTGGGGGGCAATGGAGCAGGGGAGAGCAGTGGGGAAAATGGTGGGATAACTATAACTGAACAACAATAAATACTAATAAAAAATAAACATTTCATTAGAATAGAAGAACTGAGAATAAGGCCAAAATGGAAAAATCAATTTTGTGTTTCATTTTTACTTTTGGTATCTTTTGAAATTTGAGTATATGTTATCTTTACTTCGACAAAATACTTAAAAAGATTACTATAGATAGATATAGAGAGAGCAGGACAGTTAAATACACAGTTGAATAGATGAATATATAGTTGGAATAGTTCATACTAAATGCTGATATTTGATTTTAACCACAAAAATGGCAGTCTCATACAATTCAATAAAATATAGGAATTACTAAATAAAAACAAAAGTGGATTAAGATGTAAAATCATTTCGTTTTGATTTTATAAATAAAATACCTCCAAAAATAAGCTTAAATTTAATGTTAAAAAGTTAGAAGTCTATTGATTTTTTGATATTATAGTGCAAATTGCTGCATTTGAAATTATTATTTTTTATGAAGCATGTTAGCTCACTAAATTTCCAAGATAGAATTTAGGCCTTCCTGTATGTATAGTATACTGAGACCTAAACAATATGGACACACACAACATCTTAAGAATATTTCCAGACAACATTGTTAATTGATTATTATAGAGTATTTTTAATATACTAATTATGTCAAGAGAGAATATTTGAATGCCTTAGATGTGAAATTGATGTCTTTAAAACCATATCAGTTTAAAAGATGGAGCAGAAAAACTATGATCATGAATGGGAGGAAGCTTTTAGTGTTTGTTTCAAAGATCTTTCTCTGCCTGTGATACAGCTCATGTTCCTTAGGCAGATAATGTATAATAATAGTTGAAGCATAAAATAAATATCCTTTCTTACTAATGTATTACATTTTATTAGCTAGATCAATATTGCTGTAATTTCCACCCATTAGCATCTCATTGCTGTAAAGTACATAAAAATATTTACATTGACACTGATCAAAATTGCAACAGCGTATATTAAAATATGAATGACATATAATCAGAATTTTCTGTTTCTACTGCCTCCAGTTATTTGTGACCCTAGATATGAAGTTCAAGTTTATACTTAATAGCACAATTATGTAAATCTGTAATTCTAACACTGAATTACAGCTGGTAATGATCAATAATTATATTTATGTATGATGTGAGGTTAATACTGCCACCATAGATTAATCTAAACAACAAAATTATTTCTGCAGTCGAGAGCTAACAAATCATCATAAACAAAGAGAACTAAAACAATCTCTTCAGAGTCTAATTTCTCTAGCAGAGTAAACAGATTTTTTATTCTCAATGAACGTAAAGCCCCCAATTAAAGAAAACACAACTCTACCAAAAACATCATAATAGCTGAGTGTTTCACTATATTTTTTAATTCTTATTTCAGGCTTCAGAAAAGGGAAGACATTCTGATAGGGCTTTGCAGAGAAAAACACTGGAAGAGGTGAATGACAGAGAAAGGCAGAAATTCCAGAAAAACACAACCAACCAGTTAAAAAAAAAAAAAAAAAAAAACGGTTTGGGAGCCCTGGCTGGTGTAGCTCAGTGGATTGAGCAGGGGCCTGCAAACAAAGGGATTACGGTTTGATTCCCATTCAGGGCACATGCCAGAGTTGTAGGCCAGTTCCCAGTGGGGGACACACGAGAGGCAACCATACATTGATGTTTCTCTCTCTCTCTCTCTCTCTCTCCTTCCCTTCCCCTCTAAAGATAAATAAATAAAATCTTTAAAAAATAGTTTGGAAAAGATATACATCTTTCTGTACATTAAAAAGTTCAAGGTCTCTTCAGCAAAAAAAAAAAAAAACCTTTAAAAATGCATCAGAAAATTATAGGTAGCTATTATGTTGTTTGACCCTTTCTTGAATTATAGTCATAGTTGAAAGAAACAAAAGCTTGAAATATTCTTTATAAAAGAGACTTTAAATTTCAACATTTAGGAATGCGTAAACCAGAAGGAAAACACAGGAATACACATCTTTGCATGGCTAAGTGTTGTGTAAATAGTAGATTCTGATGAACACACATGGCTATAGATGAGCCATATTAGAAATACAATGAAAAAAGCTGAAGAATTGATGTAATATTGTAAAATGATTAGGCTCCTTGCTAAAACTAAAATCAATGTCATCTTTTCTACTTCACCAATGAGGTTACAATAGGAGGGATTGACCATAGGAGGACAGGCATTTCACAACTGCTTTTTTCAGTCATCATCGACTTATCTTTAGCTGACATTCCTATAGTGCTTCCTATGGGCCAGGCAGTGTTCTAGGCAGTTTGTGTGGAAGAACTTACTATTTTTTGTAATTACTGTGTGAAGTAGTTACTACCATTATACCTATTTTATAGATGAGAAAACAGGCCCAAAGGGGTACAAGCTTATATGATTAATAAGTAGAGCAGGTAGGATTTAAACAAAGTTTTTCTTGCCATTAGAATCATGTTATTTGCTTCATATCATGCTGCATAATACAAGTGATCAGTATTATGTAGTAGAACTCTGTTTAAATACAACTTTTGCCTTCTTAATTTAGGCCAAACTGGACAATGAAGTATCACTCCACCCAATTTCAGGGTTTCTCATCTTCAGCACTGTTCACACTTTGACCAAATAATTCTTGGTTTGGTGACTACCCTGTGCATTGTAGAATGTACAGCATCAACTCAGGCTTCTTCCCACCAAATGCCAGTAGCACATCCCCTCTCTGTGTGACAACCAAAATATCCCCTGGGGAGCAAATTTACCCCCAGTTGAGAACCACTGAATCTTAGCCAAACATTAACAACTATGTACAGTAAATTGGATTTTCAATAAATGCTTTTTAGTAACCTAGAACACTTATTCAATAAAAGTCAGATATTATCTCGATTCTCAATCTAACTGGGAAACTTCACATCTTTATTCTATCAAGGATGAATCTTGGAAATGAAAACTGACAACAGGAATTAGTCATTTTTATAAAACAACATTTCATGACAATGTTACTAGTGATGAGTGGCCTCCCTGTCTTTTATGGATTCTCATCTCTGAAATAGCTTATTTTTTACTTGTGACTATACTGATAATATACACACATACATCTAGAAGGAGATAATTACTCCTCCTCCTAACCCATTAACACAACTACTATAGATTTAAAGTTTGATCGCTTCTGAAAGAATAATTTAAAACCTTCTTCACACATATATCCCCCTTCTTAATTTATATAAAGTTCTGATTTCTTTTAAAGGTCATTTTAACAGAATAATTTCACTTACTTTTATGATACAGAAACTTTTGGGGGTTAGTACTAAGAAATTATTGGCTGGAAGCCCAATTCTCTCTGAACAAGACTGATCAGTATCTTAGCAAAGTGAAAAAAGTAGGATAATTGTAAACCTCCTTGTAGAAGCTCCTTGTGACATGATGTTCTCACTGTAAAATGTGTCCCAGCAATCTGGGATGATAGACACATTTCTTACTTGGTCCTTGTGGGATTCCTTAGGCAGCTTAAGCAGGGATAAGCTTGTTCACTCTACCTTTTTAGCACAGAAATTTATAAGACAATACATTTATGTGAAATTAATTTACATATATATGGGATTTATTATATGTCAGTCATTGATCTAAGAGAGTCAGAATGAGCTCACTTAACTCTCATAGTACTGAGGTAGGTACTACTATTTTATAATCACCTCAACTTTAAAAATGAGGAAACCAAGGTAAAGAAAGAATAAATTGTTCAAGGTTATATGGCAAATGAGTAGCAGAACTATAGAGAAGTGGAACTTTTAGTCATACCCCCTGATTTTCTGGAAAAGGACAGAAGGGCTAGAGGTTCAATCAGTCACCATTGGCCAACGATTTAGTCCATCATGACTGAGTAATGAAATCTCCATAAAAACCTAGAAGGAGAGGGTTCAAGAACTTCTGATTTGGGGGAAGTGCTGAGAGAGTGTCACACCTCAAAAAGGTGTGGAAGCTCTCTGCCCTTCTCCACATCTTGCCCTGTGCAGCTTTTCCATTTGGCTATTGCTGAATTATGCCCTTTTGTAACAAAATCATTAATCTAGTAAATGACCATTTTCCTGAGTTTTGTGAGGTACTTGAGCAAATTAATGTAACACAAGAAGGAGGTTGTGGGAAGCTCTGGTTTTATAGCCAGTTGGTCAGAAGTGCAGGTAACAACCTGTGCTGAGACTGGCATCTGAACTGGGTGGATGTGGGAGGGGCTTGGGGCTGGATGGGAAAGCATTTCTGTGGAACTGAGCCCTCAACCTGTGGAATCTGGCACTACCTCCAGGTAGATTGTGTCAGAATTGAATTGAGTTGTAGGCTGTCATAGAATAGCTTGATAGTGCGGGTGTTAACACCTCCACCCCCATAAAAATTGGTTCCAGAACCATATTAAGCATGAAAATCAATGTCTGACTTTATATAGAATTACCACGATGTGCAGAAAGGAGGTCTGAAGGAGAAGACCATTGTTTGTTTTTCCATTATTGAACATGCAAAGTGTAAAATATTTTAATGAAAATATTCCTGTATTTTGAGACTTTGTATATTACCTGAGCTTTATTTTGGCCAAAGAATTACATAAAAATGTAAATTGCTCTCCATAATTCTTTAGTAAACATATGCATGTTTGACTTCTGGAGATCCGGTGAATGAGTGATGCCCACGGTGTCCTATCCCCCACTGCCCTGCCTGCTCAAATTCAGTGGGTCAGAAAATAGACTCCATGTCCTTGGGTGGGGTTGAGAAGAACCTGTGAACATATAAGAGAGGAGAGGCCTTGAATCAACAGTGATCTTGAAAACAAGGAACCAAGAACATTTTTACTAATGGATAGAGAAGTCTTGACTTACTTTGAAGGCAAAATGTGGCTGCTCATGGTAAAAGTTTGAAATGTTATTAATATGCTTACTTATACATTTATTTAGGGCATGTTTAAAGATAGCTAGGGGGAGTAAGCAACTACAGAAAGTGGCCTAAGCAGAGATATTTCTATGGTAGTGTTGAGATATACAGAATGGGCAAAAGTAGGTTGTGAGTACACAAAACATATTATTCTCATATTATTATTTATTAATTTTTGTATTATTAAATTTATATGAACAACTGTCAGTCTACTTTGACCTAGTCCTGCATAGATATTTTATTGGAACAATTACTTCTTAATTCCTTTCACTATCATAAGCATTGAAGTGCGCTGGTTTCAAAATAACTTTCCAGTCACACAGGGCTTCGTGTCCTAATGCTATATGAACAGGGGGTGTTTCCTAACATACCTTGTTGGACACTTTTCATTGACAAACTGACTCAGAAGGATTTTTTTTTAGGATCAGGAGAAGACAATTATGCATGAATCTCAAAACTCTGGAGTACCTTTTCTCATATCTTGTAGTTGCAGGTTATCTAATTTTTGTTTTCTAGTTACTACTCAGTGGGGTAGAAAACAGAGGACTCAACATTCTTCTGGTAGTGATTTCAATAAAGGAATCATAGTTCTAAGTTTATCTTATTATAAGTGAGTCTTAAATACAGATTTATACAACCATATGAATTGAGGGATGTCTGGTTTTGTATTTTGTGTTGTTCATAACTGTAGGGGCATCCTTATGTGATTATTAGATTACAGTAAAGATCATGAATTCCACATAATGCCAGGCCCTTAACATTTAATGAATGAGAGTGATGATGTTAGTTTGCTGTTGCAAATATCTAGTGTAACAATAGGGTGATCTAGATATTTTGACCAATGAGATCTCAACTTATTTCAGTTTATTTGCCTTTTTCATGATGGCAGATAATAAATATAAACTACCTTCTTTAAATTAGATCAGAAAGTATGATTAAATTGCACTTCTTATTTAGGTAAATATCATTTTTGTAATACTTGCCAAAGGACAGCACAAGTGATGCCTATGCTTCTTCTCATGTTTAAGTTTTGCTCCATTTTGCAAAGGTGAGCTTTTGTCATATTATTTGCATGCATTTGTAAAATATCAAATTTAGGTTTGGCTGCATATTATACATCTCCTAAATAACATAATTTTTCCCTAGTGTTTACACTAGTGCCTACACTAAGTTAGGCAGAACAGGGCTAGTCTGGCATCTCCAAACGCCACTTCAGGTACCAAGTTTCATTTATTTATTCTCCTTTGTCTCTTTGTGTTCTTATTTTTAATGTAAGAACATTACATTAAATTTATTAGGGTAAAGTTTGTTAAAATATTATCTAAGTTTTAGGTGTATAATTCTATAAAACATCTATGTATATTGCATTGTGTGCTCACCACTCAGTCTAGTCTCCTTCTATCACCATATTTGACATCTTTACTCTCTTACTCCTGCCTCCAACTCTCCTTCCCTCTAGTGACCACCTTATTGTTGTCTGTATCTACGAATTTGTTGCTTTCTGTTTAATATCCTACATATGAATAAAATAGTTCTTGTCCTTTTCTATTTGACTGATTTCACTTAGCAAGATACTCTCAAAATCCATTCATGTTGTCACAAATGGCAATATTTCATTATTTTTATGGCTGACTAATATTCCCTTGTAAGTACTAAGTTCCTTTTAGATCATCCCTCTGTCACTCCTGGGATGTGCCCATGAAATCCAAGGTGGCTTCTGTAACTCCAGTTAACACATGTGTGTTCTAGGAAGCAGAACAAAGGAAAAAGAGTTAAGCATAGCTCCCTCTTCTTCAAATATATAAAGCTTCATTTTATTTTATTTACTCAGCCTCAGTAATTATCTATACCTGCCAAGAAAGCTGGTAGCTAGGAGCACTGCAACCCATCAAAAATTGGAATTTTATTGTTAAGAAAAAGAGAGTGGATATTGAGAGGCAAATATCACTCTTTTGCATGGTCCTTAGTAAGAACTACTTGAATTGAGTAGAACCCATTATGTAGAAATTTCTGATATGTGCTTTGAGAATCACTACTTGCCAAGGTATTTGAAAATACCTAACCTTATTATTTGGTGCTTTGTGTTATTTAAAATATGACTTGAATTTAGATTACTAGAAGATGTTGTAATCTCCTAAAATATGGATCTGTTCGTCTTTAATTTCTATGCTGAAGGCAACAGCTGCATTTTACCAGTGAACCCCCATCTGATCAAAACATGTGTCTGATTTCTATTTTAGTTTTGGCAGAATAACTGTGAAAGACTTTGGTTGGCATTTAGTTATATTGCTAATATGTCACCTACTATTATTGCTACCGAACCAGCTTTTCTGTCCCCCCCCTTATCATGTATCATATCTACAATCCCATAAGTAAGCTAGAATGATATCCTTTTACAAAAATTTACATCTTAATTCTATCCCTAAACATCTACACCCCCACCGACCTGTGCTTTTCACATTTTATCTTCTATTTTCACTTAAATTTTCATACTGGTATTTAAAAATTGCCAAACAATAAAGACTGAAAAGAGGGAAATCAAGTAGAAAATTATACAGTTGGCAGTCCTGTATAAAAACGATGAAACTGTACAAGTTTGTTACGTTAAAAACAAGAGGTTTTTACTTTGTTCTCTTTCTTTTGGTTTCTTAGAGCATTGAACCTTATAAATGTTACCTGGCTCAAAAATGTGTTGTTACTACCTTTAGTTAAAAGCATTATCAGTATCTTAAAAAAAAACACCAAGAATTTAAGAAGGTTAAAAAAATTTTTATGTCCTTCACAGGTAGTAGTATTTGTTTATTACAAAACTTTCTAAGACTATTTATAATTATAGTTATTTCACTTTTAATTATGTTTTTGAGTTTCGTATTTTAGTTAGACAAACCCTGTGGGCCAAATCTTACTTTCCTGGTTTTTAGTTAACTTCCACTTTTCATCTGTCCTATTAACCTGGGACATTATCCTCCTTTGTGTCCTTTTCTTTAAATGAAAACTTTTCATAAAATATAGAATAATACAGAAAGTAAAATATACTAAATGTATATCTTAAGTTTGTGCAGAGTGAACACACCATGTTACTAGTACCCAGATTAGGAGATGGAACATTATTATACCCCAAATGCCATTTGTACCTCTTTCTAGTCACTATCCACTCTCCTGACTTCTGGCACTGAAGATTGTAGTTACCTATTTCCGAACTTTCTATAAATGCAATTATGCTATATAAAATTCAGTGTCTGCTTTCTTTCATTTAACAATATATTTTTAAATTCATAGATGTTTTCAGGTGATGTAATTTATTCATTCTCATTGCTGCTTAATTTTCAGTTGTCTTTGGTTTTCAGCAGTCTTCCATGGTGTGCCTTGGTACAGTTTCCTGCATGGGATTCATAGCACTTCTTAAATCTATGGGTCTTGTTTTTAATGAGTGCTGGAAAATTTGATGCCAGTCTCAAATATTCCTTATCTTTCATTTTCTCTCATCTTTTCTTCTGGTAGTCCAGTTCCATATATGTTAAACTTTTTTTTTCAGTTGTCCCATATTTTTTATGTCATTTTTGTAGTCTTTGCTGTGCCTCCCCCTCCAACACACATATACTTCGTTCTTCACTTTTGATACATTCTAATGACCTGGAAACATTCTATTCTATTGAACAGTCTTCTGCTGTTTAAAATGCTGTTAACACCATAAAATATGTCCCTAATTTCAGCTATTTTATTTTTTCAATTCTAGAATTTCCACTCGATTCTCTTTAAAGACTTTAGATCAATGTTAAAATATTTGTCTGTTATCTTTATTTCCCTCATTCTCACAAATGTATTTGTTATAATTATATTAGAATCTGTCTTTTTAACTCTAATAATTAGATCAGCTGTGGATCTCAGTTTGTATTCATTTGGTTTTTCTTTCCCTTCTTAATCTTTAGGCAAGTGGTTCTGTCCTTGGTGTGCTAAGTAATTTTTGATATTATGCATAAAATTTGAGGCTGCTTACAGATGGTGCTCGCTTTCTTCAGAGAAGGTTCACTCTTTTCTTTGGTAGTCAAAAGGCGTGAAGGCAAACAAATCAAGGCCAGTGCTGCCTCCTTGCAGTGTTGTAGCCCTAATCTGGCTTGGCCTGTCCCTGGTTCACCCTGGGCCTCCAGAGTTTCCAGCTGAGTGGAAGGAATAGACTTTGGAGCTCTATTTTTTGGGTACATCTCATACTCTGATTTTTAGTTTCTGAGGCTGTTGAAAACTTCAATCTACTTTTCAGAGACTTTATGCTTTAGCTTTTAATCTCCTACTCCGCACAGCTCAAGGAGTTGGTCATTCCTTTAAGGTAAAGCCCAGCCATATACTTGAGCGTCCCTTCCAACTTTTATCAAAAGCTCCTGTTTTTTTGTTTCCTGGGAGTAACACTCTGTTAGTACAAATCCCCAATTCTCAGACTCATGCTCAAGCTTAAAATGAACAAATGACCCATATTAAAAGCATCTACAGAAATCAGGCCACTCACTCAAGATTCTCCCCTCCCTGGGGTTTCAGAACCTCCAGTCTTTGGTGGTACCTAAGCTCTCCAAAGTCTTAAAACAAATTGCCCGTTTTATCATTTTCCCCAATTGTTCTAAGAAGCTACTCACTTTCACCTGGAATGATTTATTGTTTTACTAACTGATTTGTTCACTTTGTTTTAAATATTATATTGTATGGGTAACTTAAAAATGTATATCTCTACTTGTTGTCTGTTATTGATAAGCTTTAGATATCAAAAGTCTGAATGCATACTTATAGTAAAAATAGAGGGGAATATCACTTCATGAATGAAAGCATACAAAAACGATTTTCATGAAATAGGTAATCATA